TAGGATAGAGGCCTGGTGCATGGGTGGGGCTGGCTGGTTTGCCCTGAAGGGTGTCCTGGATCAGGGTGGGGGTCCCCACTGGGGTGCCTGGCCAGCCTGGGTAAGGGGATGATGGCTGTTTGCAGCTGGTCACACACCCTTCAGGGTGGGGGTCCCCACTGGGCTGCCTGGCCAGTCTGGTTGAGGGGCTGAGGGCTGTTTTCAGGCTGGCGGGTGACGGAAGCTCCCAACTGCTCCTTTTTTTCTTTTTTCTTTTTTTAATTCTGGGCTCTGGCTCCAGCTCTGAGGCCTCGGCTGCTGAAAGAGGTTCTATAATCGAAACAATGTATAACTCCAGCTCTGAGATCCCGGATCGCTGAAAGCAGGTTTCTGGGGTTTTGTTTAGCTTCTATATTTGTTACAGTGTTTCAAACTGCAGGCTCAGAGGCTTAAAACAACAAGGAAAAAGTATCGTTTCATATGCCACGAAGCCCGAGGTAGGGAGGTTCCAGGCTTGGTTATTTAAATGGATCCATAATGTCATAAAGGACCGGGCCTTTTCTGTCTTAGCAACATCAGTTTATCAGCAGCTCTCCTAGCAATAATGACAATGACGACGATGAAAAACACCTACCTAGTGTGCACAGGGGCTAGGCCCCATCCTGAGTGTTTTATGGATGGAACCTCACACAGACTCTGTGGTCAGTAATCCTTTTCTAATGCACAGAGAGGTTAAGTAACTTGGCCCAGGTCACACAGCTGACAGGTGGCAGAGCCCGGGTTCCATTTGAGGCTGTCAGGCTCCAAGTTTGCCTCTTGAATGCCCCCTGTCAGTTGTGGGCATCACCTCCTCCTCCTTTACCACCTAGAGACAGAAGCAGCCAACTGCCCCTGTTTGTGGGTCTAATTGTTTTTTTTTAATCCTCACCCAAGAAAGAAAAATATTTTTTCCATTGATTTTTAGGGAGAGTGGAAGGGAGGTGGGAAGAGAGAGAAAGAGAGAGAGAGAGAGAGAGAGACATCAATGTGACTGGGACATCTATCGTTTCCCTCCCACATGTGCCCTGACCAGGGGCGGGGATCAGACCTGCAAACCAGGTACATGCCCTTGAATAGGAATCGAACTTGTGACCCTCCAGTGCACAGGCCGATGCTCTAACCACTGGTCCATACCGGCAGGGCTGCGGGTCTGATTTTTAAGGCCATAAGAACCTTTCCCAGAGCCTTCTGGCCAACTTCCCAGTCTGTCTTGTTGGCAGAACTGGGTCACGTGTGTCCACTCTGTGACCTGTAATTGTCCAGGGGTGTGGCATTGCCAGACTGGATCGGAGCACTGATTCTTAGCCCCAGCTACACACCGGAACCACCTGGAGAGCTTTAAAAAAAAATCCATACCCCACCCCCTACCCAGAGCTTTTAATTTAAAGATCTTTTAATGGGTGCTGAGTGATCTCCCAGACAACATCAGGGTTTGGTGAACAGAGAGGAAGGTGGGACAGCTGGCTCCTGGGTGGACGGCCAGATACCAGGTGGCCTCCAGATCAGGGCCAGGTGACCAGGTCACCTCCCTGGAGGATGGGCTGAGCCCCCGGGCTCTCTGAGCTTCCCTCTGGCTCTCTCAGAGTCACACTTCTCACCATGCCAGGCCTGGCGGTGTGTGTGTCCCCACCACCCTCCCCCCTCTGGCCTCTGAGTTAATGGGGATTCTTTGTTCGAAAGTGAGAGAAACTCAAACTCTTGTAAACAGGAGAGGGGGTTTATGGATATGTGTACCCATTGTGGGGCGGGGGGGTCTAGTCAGGAACAGTTAAGGGTCGATCCGTCTGCGGTGGGTCCGGTAATTTCCAGGCAATGGAAGAATAACCAGAGCGTCTCTGAGCTCCTATCCGGGCCCCTCACAACCAGAGGATGCTGACTTTCTCACTACCAGTTTACAAAGTCCCAGAGAAGGATTCTGATTGGCCCAGCTCGGGTCATGTGCTCATTCCTTAGTCAATTGCAATGACCAGGGGCTGAGAAACCTCAGTTACTTGCTCCCTGTCCAGGGTTTGGGAAAAGAGGTGCTGGCCAGACAGACAGACAATGGCCCTCTCTGCTGCCTCTGTGCAGTGGGCCTTAACATTGGGGGCGTTAAAGTGTCACAGATTTGTGATCCCTGAGCCCTCTGAGTGCTCCACAGTGGCTCACGTGACCCCCATTCCTGGGGGCTTTGGTTCTCATTCTAGATGAAGAGCATGAGCGTGGGAGACCCCCGAACCTTCCCCTTCATCGAGCCCCCCCCACCAGCCAGCCTGGAAACGGCCATCCTCTACCTCCGGGACCAGGGGGCTCTGGACAGCTCCGAGGCCCTCACCCCTATCGGGTCCCTGCTGGCCCAGCTGCCTGTGGACGTCGTGATTGGTGAGGACCCCCCTTGGGGTGACCACGCGGGTCCCTGGGTGGGTCGGGCCACTGCCCGCCAGCTGCTCCCTCTCTAGGCCCTGTTCATGCGTTCGCCAGTCCCCAGGGCGGGCACTGTGCTGGGCACCAGGGATACAGCGTAAACAAACAGGGCGCTCGGCACAGCCCGTCCCAGCTGTGCCCTGGGCTGCCCTTGCTGTGGGTGGTAAGGATTTCAAAACCTCTTCCTCTTCCTCATTCTTGCGCCACCCCTGCCCTCCCGAGGAGCTCGCTGACTCCCGTGTGTTCATTCTGCCCGATTCTCCCGACTCCAGACATTCTGTGTCCACCGATGGTCCCCAGCCCACACACAGTCCAGCAGAGCGCCACCAGCCACCACCGTGGCACCGTTCCCCCAGCACAGACACTCCGCACAGCCTCCTGCCGTGTCAGCCCTTAAAGCCCCTCCCCTGCAGGCCGCTGAGGCGGTGACGCGGTTCTTTCTGTTTGCTCTAGAGCAGGGGGGGGGGCGCTTTCT